ATGAAATAAAGATAACTAGTACTGTACCACAGTTGATAACATATACCTGTGGAACTGCTTCTACAAGACAGGTTGAAATTATCTTGGTGTGTAGCAGTCTTAGATTATTTTAATTTTTGTATGTATACTGACATACCATCATTAATGTTGAGAATCTTTTATTAATCACACAGGGATGAACAGGAAGATTTACTGTGGATGTTATTATCAAGACCAGCAAAAAAGTGGTTGCACTTGGGGTTTTTAAAGGTTTTTTTAATGAGTCTTCCTCCCTGTGCCCTTCCTTCCCCCAAATTTTATAAAGCACACTTGTTTCTTAATTGTCATCCTTTCTTTGTCATCCTCTTCCCTAGTGTAAATTATATAAGGATTATCCAAAGATATACAAACCCAGTGAACTCCTCTAAATTGGAAAAATAAATGTTCTAATAAACGTATACTAACAAACGTTAATATGAAGGAAGAGGAATAGATGTTAAGGATGTTAACTTGTTAAAGCCAAATAAGACTTACAAGTCAGTAAGTTACATGGTATCCTTATGGAGTGAAATTCTAGGCCTGAAAAGGGAAAAAAGTAAGACTCCCATTAACAGCCATTTAACCAGACAATGATAAGAAGTCTAGAATGGTGAGGAAAATGAAAGTGTAGGAAAAACAGTTATAATAGCATATTTTAATTGCTTTCATGTAAATTAGGTAAGTATCATGTCAAACCATGATCCCAAGAGTTAGATGCTGTCAGGTTGTGTTATGAAAAAATTGATCACTAACCTGCAGGAGAAGGTAATGCAGAGGACCTGGTTTATAACGTTAGTAACAAAGACCTATTCACTAAAAATGACTGTTAATATATCTACATTCACCAACTTCCCAAAATCTGAGAAAGACACAAGTATTGTGCTTAATTTTAAAAAAATGAGACTCTTCATAAAAGTAAGGGTAACTGTTGAGAAGCTAGAAGGGGTAGCTAAAAAGAGTTAAATCTTAAGAGAAGAGTCAAAGATTATGTGTATAGAAATTTTAAGGAGGGCTGCACAGAAGCTAGCATGACTCAACTGTGACCATGAGAGAGGTTATTAGAATCAAGGATGCATCTTTCAGAAAAAATGAGTAAAATTAATAATGAGAAAAACTGAAGTAAAGCAAACAAAAAACCCCAGCAAACAAAAAAAGCCCGCATAATTCCAGCACCTTTAAATATAAAAATGCATTTAGGTAAGGAAAAAAGTTTATAACTTGCAAACAGCAGAATTATTAATGAGTACTTTTAAAGTGTAACAGGAGCAGAAAGTGCATAAGTCCACTAATGATTGCTGTGTAAAAGGAAAACTTGGAGAGGATGAGGTATACAGCTTGTGGGTTCAGTATGGAGGATCCTGGGAAGTAGCTACTAGAAGATCCTCTGTGGACCTTAGGATGCATACTTCATCTGCTGTTGAAGTGACAGATGGAATTCAATGTACGTGAATATTAAGTGATGTGCACTGGGAAAATAAACCCAATTTTTACATATATATGCTGGATTTTCAGATAATTGTTACATTAAGGAATGAGATCTAGGAGCTATGATAGATAATTCAACCAAAATGTTGTCTTGGTGCTTAGTAACCATCAGTAAAATAAATCACATTTTAATAAATATTTAGGAAAGAGATGAGGAACAAATTCGGAGACAAGGCTCTGCTGACATTTCTGCAAAATCTCATGAATGCTAAGGACATCTTTTCCAATTCACAGAATCATTCAGGTTGGAAAAGACCCTTGGGATCGTCGAGTCCAACCACCAGCCCTACTCTACAAAGTTCTCCCCTACACTATATCCCCCAGCATCTCATCTAAACGACCCTTAAACACATCCAGGGATGGTGACTCCACCACCTCCCTGAGCAGCCTATTCCACTGTCTGAACACTTTTTCCGTGAAAATTTTTTTCCTAATGTCCAGTCTAAACCTCCCCTGTTGCAGTTTAAAGCCATTCCCTTTTGTTCTATCACTATTTACCTGCGAGAAGAGACCAGCACCAACCTCTATACAGTGTCCTTTCAGGTAGTTGTAGGGAGCGATGAGGTCTCCCCTCAGCCTCGTCTTCCTCAAGCTGGACAGTCCCAGCTCCTTCAATCTCTCCTCACAGGATCTGTTCTCCAGGCCCTTCACCAGCTTCGTTGCCCTCCTCTGCACTTGCTCCAGCACCTCGATATCTCTCTCGTATTGAGGTGCCCAAAACTGGACACAATACTCCAGGTGTGGCCTCACCAGTGCAGAGTACGGGGGGACTATCACCTCTCTACTTCTGCTGGTCATGCTATTTCTAACACAAGTCAGGATGCCGTTGGCTTTCTTGGCCACCCAGGCACACTGCCAGCTCATGTTCAGCTGCTTGTCAATTAGAACGCCCAGTTATTTCTGGTCTGTCTTTTTAGAATATGAGAACATCCCACAACAAGACTCATGTAATGCTAAAGCTTCATAAGAGGTCAAAAGTCACTGGAATGGCAAGCTTGATTTGAATTATTTTAAACATTTTTAAAAAGTGTTGTTTGGTGTTTTGGGTTTTTTTTTCACAATTTCAAGTATTATTACTTTATATTAACCACACTATACTGCAACTGTTTTTCTCCCAGAGAGTCAAATCTACCAGTAGTCACCCCTGTGTCTGCCTGCAACACAATTTAAACAAGTTCAAGCTCTCTTTTACTTCTCTTGAATGCCAGCACTTCAGCTGTGACAGTAGAGAGCAGAACTCAATGCAGACTAACCTGGTTTACACAAATTTTCAGATAGGCTGGATCAACCTTTTATAGTAGTTCCTACTGCTAAGTTAGTTCAAAGCTATCTGAGCTGTGTCTGCACTATGCTGAAGAAATGCCTCATACAGAATTTAAAAGGACACGGATTTAGATGTGGTGCTAGATTATTTTATAACCCCAACTATGATTTAATTAAGCACTAATTTCACTAATGCATTTAAACCTCTTAACTGCCATCATTTCTTTTCTGGGTAAAGTTTTCCTGTTATTCCTGAGTAGTGACACCATACCAAACACTGAGTAACCCAAGTAGCAAATATTTTAATTATTGATACCTTCTTAGTTGTTTATTTCTGCTATGTATAGGGGTATGTATAGTGATGAGTGGCATTCCTCAGGGGTCAGTGTTGGGGCTGATACTGTTTAGCATCTTTGTTGGCGATATGGACAGTGGGACTGAGTGCACCCTCAGCAAGTTTGCCGATGACACCAAGCTCTGTCATGTGGTCGACACGCTGGAAGGAAGGGATGTGCCATCCAGAGGGACCTTGACAGGCTGGAGAGGTTGGCCCATTCAAACCTCATGAAGTTCAAGGCCAAGTACAAGGTCCTGTACCTGGGTCAGGGCAATCCCAAGCACAAATACAGGCTGGGTGAAGAGTGGATTGAGAGCAGCCCTGCAGGGAAGGACTTGGGGGTGTTGGTTGACGGGAAGCTCAACATGACCCTCCAATGTGCACTTGCAGCCCAGAAAGTCAACTGTATCCTGTGCTGCATTAAGAGAAGTGTGGCCAGCAAGTCGAGGGAGGTGATTCTCCCCTTATACTCTGCTTTCATGAGACCTCAACTGGAGGTCCAACTCTGGGGCCCCCAACATAAGAAGCACATTGACCTGCTTGAGCAGGTCCAGAGGAGGCCATGAAGATAATCGGGGGGCTGGAGCGCCTCCCGTATGATTTGGGGTTGTTCAGCCTGGAGAAGAGAAGGCTCTGGGAAAAACTTATAGCAGCCTCCCAGTACTTAAAGGGGGCTACAGGAAAGCTCGGGAGGGACTCTTTAGCAGGGAGTGTAGTGACAGGATGAGGGGTAACAGTTCTAAACTGAAAGAGGGTAGAGTTAAATCGAAGGAAGAAATTCTTTACTGTGAGGGCAGTGAGACACTGGCACAGGTTGCCCAGAGAAGCTGTGGCTGCCCCCTCCCTGGCAGTGTTCAGGCCAGGCTGGACGGGGCTTTGAGCAACCTGGTCTAGTGGGAGGTGTCCCTGCCCATGGCAGGGGGGTTGGAACTAGGGGATCTTTAAGGTCCCTTCCAACCCAAACCATTCTACGGTATCTGTAAGCTTTGTATCTATCAGATTTTTATTGTCTATGAATTAAATATTAATCAGTGAGATTTAATATTAAAAGAGAAGACTTGCTCTAACATCATTTAAATTTTTTATATGCTGGGAAATATTTTTATAAATGTTCCTATATATTCCATATATGAAAATATTCTTCTTTAATAGATCATCCTGTTTACCATGCTATTTTGCAGTTGTGAAATATTAATAATGCTGATTTGTAATCTTTAAATCTACTCTGTGTTTTGATGGTACACTCATAAATGAGCTGTTTGTATTTAAAAAATCATAACAAAGTTTGCTGAGGATTTTCTATCAATTTTCTTTCTGTGTTTTTGTGTTGTTTGTTTTTTTTTTTTTAACAATGACTGACAAATCTTGAAATTAATGTAGATGTCCAGGAATCTACTAATAATTCTTACTTCAAATTTTCATTATGTTTTATTATAGTTAGGTAAAGGCTTTATCTGGCAACAAGAAGTCTAATTTGTTTACTGTGGACTTTATCAATATTTGCATGTAGTAGCTCAGTCTTCTAACCATGTATTCTACTTCCAGCTGTTCTGGGTTCTTCCCTTTTTCCCTTTAGTCAGGGTGTAAACAGTGTTGAACCAGAAGATGAGTCTTTGTAGCTTCTTTTTATTATAATTAAGTTTGTCCCTGACTTAAGCTGAGGAAACGTACCTGCTTTTTGACTCCCATTCACAGCACTGACCTCAGGATGGAGGGGCTGTATGTGCTGTCAGTGACAGAGCTTTACCGATTCGATTGTTTCAGTGTAAACACGATAAAGCTATCTAGCTAAAGTCTGAACGAAATGGGGATAGGAAAAACAGCAACAAAGCCAGGTTTTATATGTTTACTTATTAAGTAGATTAAAGGCTTTATATGCTTTTGTTTTATTTTGAAGGGTCCATCTTGCTGGGATGATGTGCTGATTCCCAACAGATTAAGAGGTGTTTGCCAGTCCCAAACGTGCAATGGAAACACAGCGGTAAGATTTTTGTCATGTTTCTCCAAATACTGTGGCACTTATAAGAATAACTGTTTGTATCAGTTCTGCCCATATTAGGATTGCAGAAACTAATGTATATTGACATGTATGGTGCACTTGAAAAAAGCTGTTCAGCATCAGATAATGTATCTGTGATGTTTAGTAAAAGGCAGTAACTTGGTTAGTTGCTGCTTGAAATGAAGGAGGAAATCATTTTATGTCATCTCTTTCACTGAAGTGGAACTCTTAGACATTCAAGTATACATAGGTTAAATACAGAATGTAATACTTAAATGTTTATGTCAATGCTTATTTTATAATTACTGTGTATATGTCAGTGCCGTGAAAACTTCGAATTTCTATATCATCTTGCATATCGGATGCTGCATATGAGATTATCAGTCTTTGTCCACAGAATCAGATTCTCCACGCTGATTACTTTACAACCTGTTCTCCCACATGCTCATCACTGTTGCTTCAAGTGTTTCTTGATGTGACGTCAGTGAAAATTGTAAGAAGCAGCATAGATATCTCTAATTCATAATGAAGATTTTTTCAAAATATTATTTATATATATTTACATCCTTTTTATGTGTTAGATATTGTTCATTAGTATTTAATACTAAAGAGGTCTTAGAGGTACTTCCTTCTCAGGAAAAAGCCTAATTTGAGGTGTTCCTTCTGGACATAGCTTTTAAAGACAAACACAAAACTTTGTACATATGAAAGGATTCCATTCACCGAAGATTTGCAGATTGGGACAACATAAAGTGCCTTTTTACAGAGGCAATCATCTGCTCTGGTGCAGTGTCTGTTTGTCTTCCCTGGCAAGACAGTTGTGAAGTGGCACGTTCATACGGTTCTATAGGTGTCTTTTGCTTGGCCACAAATGGTGTCAGGAAATATTTTATCTAACTTTAGACACCAAAGTGTTGTTTGCACACCATGGGATTTATGGCTGTCTCTGTGCACAGGCAGCAGGAACAGATCTTGCAGCTTTTGGGATTCTGTTTCTTGGTGTGCTCCTTATAGTAGTGGCTCAACCACTCTTTTGAAAGTGGCAGTTATTAGACGTTCATGCGCTATTTTCTCAGCAGTACTGAGCTCTGTTAGGGGTGTAAAAGAAAAGCACCACTGCCTCTGGACATATTGGCTGTAGTCTACCTGTTGCGTTTCAGGAGCTACTCTAGTTGTAAGAGGGTTGACTCTTTTGTGACCTGTTTGTTGTCAATGTACCATTACCATTGCCGGGGAGAAGTCCTTCCTGTCATCCCTTCTTTCTTTAAAGATGACACAGAAAAATTAAGAAGATAAAAATTGCTTTTGGCAAGGACAGGAGTCTCCTTGGCAGATATCCAGCTTGAACCCTTATATACAAAAGCATGTAATCATGATTCTCAGTCTTGTCACCTGTTGGGACTCTCAGAACATATCTGACTGAGCTGTGACTACTAACTTACAGCTTTTGTTATCCAATCTGTCTGGAAAAGGTGCCGAAATAATGGCACTTTTAGCAACTCTGCCACCTGAGCTACAACCCATTACCTCATTGAATTTTTTTTTTTTTTTTTTTTTTTTTTTTTTTTTTTTTAAGCAGAAAACAGAATACTATACCATCCTGGCTCTGTGGGGTAAAGAGGAAAAAAAAAAAGGCACTCATCATAAAACTAAAAACCTTAATTGGCTAATGCGGTGGCAACCAACCAACACTCATCAACTAAGTTCCATGACTCCAGTTGCCTGCAATGCCTCTGGCAAGTTGCATGCTTAGCAGAGCCAAGGATCAATGTTAGCTTTCAGTAAGGCATCACTGTAGAAAAGTCAGCAGGCATCCTATTTTAGGCAGACATTCTGGAAATGCAGTTTCAGACCATCTGAACTACAGACATGAGGCTCCTGTTGGAGACATGTGCTGTTCCTTTATTTCTCATCTGAAACTTTTTCCCTTTCTACCAGCTACAACCTGCTCTATCCAAAGGTGTTAGAACTGAACCAATCAGGGATGCAAGAATTTGAACAAGAATTGCCAACATTATCAATCTTGTCAAGAAAAATTAAGTATTTAAAAAAAAAAAAAAAATTAGTCAGATTCACTTATCTACCTATCCAATAGATAGCCCTGCACCAGATCTCTGGACTTAGCGAGGTCCTCTTGTCCCTGAAAGTCATCCCTCTTGTGTTTTGGGGTAGGAGCTTTTCAGCCTCAATCGCTGTGAAAACACATCTTTACTTCCTGGGAAATCTTCCAGTCCAAAGGCTTAAATCATTTTGTCTTTTGTTCTGTGTCTTGCCTAGAGTTGTAAACAATAGAGATCCTACAGATGTGTCTCCAGGGATTTGTCACACTTTCCTGCTCTTGTAAAACAGTCTAACCGTTTGGAAAAGAGAAAAAACAACCTTAACTAATTCACAAGTTGAAATCTGTAAGCTTTTTTGGCCATTACAATCATTGGGAGATTAAGTCACATTTTGTGCTTAATATTCATTTTCACATTGTCATGACAAAGTTTGTGCATTTTGTCATGTCCCGCTCAGACGAGGGGGACAAGTGACTCAGATTCACAAATCCACAATTGGAGCAGACAAGTCTTCAAGCATTTATTAACTACCCACAATGTACTAACTGAACATACGATAATTGGCTAAGTACAGAGCAGGTTGTGGTGAGCAATATAATATGCCTTGTATTTCTTAATGGGAAAGGGAAAGAGTGAGATAGAGGGAATGGGGGAATACAAATCACCGGTCTGGGTTCCTGCGCTAAACCCGCCGGCAAGGGTTCCAGGAGATGGCCGTCTTTTTCGCTGGCATCTGTCTTCTTCGCTTCACTGGTCTCTCCAGATGGCCGGGGTGGGGGGGTGGGGGGCAGCAGAGGGAGACAGGGAGAGGGGCAGAGAGAGAGAGAGAAAGCCCTTTCTTCTCCCCTTTGATTTATACCCACTTTCCTTAGGTCCGTCCTCTAGGTAGACCCACAGACCTATGTATCCCATGTACGGGGAGGGGTAAGGTGTTTCATGGGATGATGTAATTAGCATGATCATGACAGCCCTCATTACCATATTGAGGGGTGTTAACTTGAATATGGATTTCATGGATAATGAAGCAAAGTTCATTCACCGGACACATGGCCCTTGAAATTTGCCCAGGTGCCTCAGAGAAGAGCCGTCCTGTCTCCACAGGGCTCTCTCCCCCAGCTACATCGGGCAGCCTTATCAGCTTCAGCCTCCACAGAATGCACCCTGTGACTCATAGTTTTGTCTTGCAAGTGTTTGAGGCATTTCTTCAATCAGCCTCCACTTTTGCTTTCCCAGGTTGTTTGTCTTAGTTTCTCACAGACCTGGTTTCTCGTCTCTCACACAGTTATATTTTGTCTGTCTTAAATAGCTCCACAGTGTACGTGCTTCTTTACAATGGTGGGTAATGAAGAAGCTTTAAGACTGTTAGTTGTCAGATGTCAACAAACTGCAGATACTGTTGTTTAAGCAAAGAAAAAAAGATTTTTCCATTATTTCTCCCCCAAGACATAAATGTGCTTAAACTGCCTTAAAAATTGTTTTTTGTCAGTTTCCACTTCTTGTGAACACCAGTTTGCAACATGCCTTAAAGAGGCAATGTGTTTTTTTCCCAAAATATTGATTTGTATGTATTTTGATATAAAATTAGTCTCTTGCCAGAAATTAGACTTTAATTCTTTTGGTTACAAGTATGAAAATAAAGTAACTGACAATATTAGAAAGTAATAGAAATCAAATTTCAATTAAGTTAAATAAAAGTTATAAATGATTGTCAAAAGATATAATGAATATCTTAATCATCATAGAATCATAGAATGGTTTGGGTTGGAAGGGACCTCAAAGATCGTCTAGTTCCAACGCCCCTTCTCTGGCAGGGACACCTTCCACTAGATCAAGTTGCTCAAGGCTCCATCCAACCTGGCTCTAAACACTTCCAGGAATGGAGCATCCACAACCACCTTGAGCAACCTGTTCAGTGCCTCACCACCCTCACAGTAAAAAACTTCTTCCTTTTATTTAGTCTAAACCTTCCCTCTCTCAGCTTCCACCCATTGCCTCTCATCCTGTCATTACAGTCCCTTGTGAAAAATCCCTCCTCAGCCCTCTTGTAGGCACCCTTCAGATACTGGGAGGCCACTATGAGGTCTTCCCGGAGCCTTCTCTTCTCCAGGCTGAACAACCCCAACTGTCTCAGCCTGTCCTCATGGGAGAGGTGTTCCAGCCCTCTGATCATCTTGATAGCGCTCCTCTGGACTTGTTCTAATAGTTCTACATCCTTCTTGTGTTGTGGGCTTGTCTGCACCAGAGGATGAGGTAGACGTGCTGGGGAGGCCCTACCATATACTGAGCTACCGGATAATGAAAAACAATATGCCCTGTTTACCGACAGGTCCTGTAGCATTGTGGGAAAATATCAAAGGTGAAAGGCAGCTGTATGGACCCCCACATGATGGGTTACTGAAGCTGCTGAAGGAGAATGTGAATCAAGTCAGTTCTCAGAGGTGAAAGCCATCCAGCTGGCCTTGAATATTGCTGAGTGAGAAAAGTGGCCAGTGCTCTATCTCTGTACTGACTCATGGATGGTGACAAATGTTCTGTGGGGATGGTTACAGCAGCGGAAACAGAGCAGCTGGCAGTGCAGAGGCAAACCCGTCTGGGCTGCTGAATTATGGCAAGATATTGCTGCTCGAGTAGAGAATCTGGCTGTGAAAGTACACCATGTATACACTCATGTACCCAAGAGTTGGGCCACTGAAAGACATCAGAACAACCAGCAGGTGGATCAGGCTGCTAAGATTAAGGTGTCTTAAGTACATCTGGACTGGCAACATAAGGGTGAACAATTAATGGCTCGCTGTGCCCATGACTCCTCGGGCCATCAGGGAAGAGATGCAACATATAGATGGGCTCGTGACTGAGGGGTGGATTTAACGATGGATGTTATTGCACAGGTAATCCATGAATGTGAGATGTACAACGATCAAG